GCTGGTCCTTTGACAACCGGAGGGCCGCCAGGCAGCCCCGCAGCGGAGGCGCAGCACACTCAACCTCCTTTGAGATATTTTTTTTTTTTGAGATATATACAAGAGTTGTTACATTCTTGTACAGCCACTAGTACGCGTAGCGTTTCGGGCAAGTCCTTAATCCTATGGTCCCTGGAATACGATCCCCTGCCGCGAAGAATCGTTTTTTCATCCAAGTACACATTTTACTGTTGCGTTAAACAGAGGCTACAGTTAAGGAATTGCGCCCAGTAAATCCTCCCCGGCCAGGATACGAACCCATGACATAGCGCTCGCGGAACGCCAGGCGAGTGTCTTACCACTACACCACAGAGACTATAGACCACGGAGACTGCGTGCTTCACACGGAATTAGATGAGGATAGTCGGATTCTGTTGGTTAGCGTTTCATATCTTGGTGTGGAGGTTTTCTTGTTGAACGTTTGCGCTCCGTCTGGGGCGGCGTGAGCGAGTATTTTTTCCGTGGTTTAAATTTTTTGAGTCATGATACGTGTCGGATGATTCTTGGGGGGGAGGGGATTTTAATTGTATCACATCGGCGCGTGATAGTAACAGTGTTCGTCCGGCGAATATCTCCTCTGCTTTATCCGCGACTTTGCAGAGTTGTGTAACGATGTAATTAAAAAGGAAAGTGTTTTGTGCGGTTTTCATCTAGGCTGTTGAGGATGTTTTTTTTTTAGTGTTGTATGGTCCCAGAGTACTTGTCAAGTTAGGAGGCATTTAGTGCGAATGAAAGGGGTGAAAGTGAAATGTGGTTTGTGTGTTGTTTTTGGAATGGAGATGTTTGCAGCATGGATGATGGTGTCTTGTATGTTGCGTGCTTGTGTGTCAATGTCAGTGTGATATTTATCATTGTATTCATGTGAGATCAGTGTCATTGATGTGTTGTTTGAACAACACATTGATGTGTTGTTTGAGGAGTGCTGGGGATGAGAATGGGGGTTGTTTAAGAGTGTGAGAAATAAGGAAATATGATCAGAGCCCGTAATGGGTCCTGGTGAAATGAGTTATAGGTTGTTGCCAACTCTGTTGGTGAATATGAGATCAGGTCTGCCAGAACCTGCATGGACGAAAGAAGTGGGGAAGTCGGGACCAAGGAAGAACAGATGTTTTTGGATATATAGTTGACGAAGCTGTTGACCATGTTGATTTGTGGTATTGTGGTGTTGTTCATTGAGATCTGTGAGTGAGAAGGCAAGGTGTGTGGGAAAAAAACCCTTAGACTAAAACTTAATAGTAATTGGGATTAAAGTATAAATTGTGATGAAAAAAGGAATAAAAAAGGCGGGCATGACAGAAATTAGCAATTGTACAAGTTGGTCAACAAACAGCATTGTTTAAAATAGCAAGACATGGGTTGACATGTCTTGACATGCCTAGTCATGCAGTAGCAACTGTGCTGGCTGGGTTCGAGTCCCTGGTAGGTGTATGTCTAAAGTTGATAAACTTCACTTGCGAGTTTAGGCAAGTCTATGTGCAAAACGTAAGACGCGAGTTCTCCCATTTAAGCAGGGGCTTGATGAAAAACGTGAGTAACCTCTCACCTCTGTCTAGTGCTCTTGGGGGGGTGTAGATATTTGGGGGTTAAATACCTCGAAAATTCCATCTCTTTTTAAGGGTCTGAGTTTAGTGGAGTGGGTTAAGATGTACTAAGTTATGCCAGTTGTTGGGAAGCAACTGTGCTGGCTGGATTTGAGTCTCTGGTGGGTGTGTGTCAAAAGTTTATATTATATAATATATATATATATATATATATATATATATATATATATATATATATATATATATATATATATATATATATATATGTCGTACCTAGTAGCCAGAACGCACTTCTCAGCCTACTATGCAAAGCCTGATTTGCCTAATAAGCCAAGTTTTCATGAATTAATTGTTTTTCGACTACCTAACCTACCTAACCTAACCTAACCTAACTTTTTTTGCATCCTAACCTAACCTAACCTATAAAGATAGGTTCGGTTAAGTTAGGTAGGGTTCGTTAGGTTCGGTCATATGTCTACGTTAATTTTAACTCCAATAAAAAAAATGACCTCATGCATAATTAAATGGGTAGCTTTATCATTTCATAAGAAAAAAATTAAAGAAAATATATTAATTCAGGAAAACTTGGCTTATTAGGCAAATCGCGCCATGCATAGTAGGCTGAGAAGTGCGTTCTGGCTACTAGGTACGACATATATATATATATATATATATATATATATATATATATATATATATATATATATATATATATATATATATATATATATATATATATATATGTCGTACCTAGTAGCCAGAACTCACTTCTCAGCCTACTATTCAATGCCCGATTTGCCTAATAAGCCTAGTTTTCCTGAATTAATATATTTACTATAATTTTTTTTCTTATGAAATGATAAAGCAACCCTTTTCTCTATGTATGAGGTCAATTTTTTTTTTATTGGAGTTAAAATTAACGTAGATATATGACCGAACCTAACCAACCCTGCCTAACCTAACCTAACCTATATTTATAGGTAAGGTTAGGTTAGGTAGCCAAAAAAAGCTAGGTTAGGTTAGGTTAGGTAGGTTAGGTAGACGAAAAAACATTAATTCATGAAAACTTGGCTTATTAGGCAAATCGGGCCTTGAATAGTAGGCTCAGAAGTGCGTTCTGGCTATTAGGTACGACATATATATATATATATATATATATATATATATATATATATATATATATATATATATATATATATGTCGTACCTAATAGCCAGAACGCACTTCTCAGCCTACTATTCAATACCCGATTTGCCTAATAAGCCACGTTTTCATGAATTAATGTTTTTTCGTCTACCTAACCTACCTAACCTAACCTAACCTAGCTTTTTTTGGCTACCTAACCTAACCTTACCTATAAATATAGGTTAGGTTAGGTTAGGTAGGGTTGGTTAGGTTCGGTCATATATCTACGTTAATTTTAACTCCAATAAAAAAAAATTGACCTCATACATAGAGAAAAGGGTAGCTTTATCATTTCATAAGAAAAATATTATAGTAAATATATTAATTCAGGAAAACTTGGCTTACTAGGCAAATCGGGCCTTGAATAGTAGGCTGAGAAGTGAGTTCTGGCTACTAGGTTCGACATATATATATATATATATATATATATATATATATATATATATATATATGTCGTACCTAATAGCCAGAACGCACTTCTCAGCCTACTATTCAAGGCCCGATTTGCCTAATAAGCCAAGTTTTCATGAATTAATGTTTTTTCGTCTACCTAACCTACCTAACCTAACCTAACCTAGCTTTTTTGGCTACCTAACCTAACCTTACCTATAAATATAGGTTAGGTTAGGTTAGGTAGGGTTGGTTAGGTTCGGTCATATATGTACGTTAATTTTAACTCCAATAAAAAAAAATTGACCTCATACATAGAGAAAAGGGTTGCTTTATCATTTCATAAGAAAAAAATTATAGTAAATATATTAATTCAGGAAAACTTGGCTTATTAGGCAAGTCGGGCCTTGAATAGTAGGCTGAGAAGTGAGTTCTGGCTACTAGGTACGACATATATATATATATATATATATATATATATATATATATATATATATATATATATATATATATGTCGTACCTAGTAGCCAGAACGCACTTCTCAGCCTAATATGCAAGGCCCGATTTGCCTAATAAGGCAAGTTTTCCTGAATTAATATATTTTCTCTAATTTTTTCTCATGAAATGATAAAGCTACCCATTTCATTATGTATGAGGTCAATTTTTTTTTATTGGAGTTAAAATTAACGTAGATATATGACCGAACCTAACCAACCCTACCTAACCTAACCTAACCTAACCTATCTTTATAGGTTAGGTTAGGTAGCCGAAAAAGTTAGGTTAGGTTAGGTTAGGTTAGGTAGGTTAGGTAGTCGAAAAACAATTAATTCATGAAAACTTGGCTTATTAGGCAAATCGGGCCTTGCATAGTAGGCTGAGAAGTGCGTTCTGGCTACTAGGTACGACATATATATATATATATATATATATATATATATATATATATATATATATATATATATATATATACATATATATATACATATATATAATATATAAAATATAAATAGGGTATTACCTACATACCTATGTTCGTGGTGCTCCTGTCTCTGCGTGAGACAGGAAAAAGAAACGACAGAGAGCTACAGTGAGAGGAGAGACAACAGAGAACCACAGTGAATGGAGAGACAACAGAGAGCCACAGTGAGAGGAGAGACAACAGAGAGCCACAGTGAGAGGAGAGACAACAGAGAGCCACAGTGAGAGGAGAGACAACAGAGAGCCACAGTGAGAGGAGAGACAACAGAGAACCACAGTGAATGGAGAGACAACAGAGAGCCACAGTGAGAGGAGAGACAACAGAGAGCCACAGTGAGAGGAGAGACAACAGAGAGCCACAGTGAGAGGAGAGACAACAGAGAACCACAGTGAATGGAGAGACAACAGAGAGCCACAGTGAGAGGAGAGACAACAGAGAGCCACAGTGAGAGGAGAGACAACAGAGAGCCACAGTGAATGGAGAGACAACAGAGAGCCACAGTGAATGGAGAGACAACAGAGAGCCACAGTGAGAGGAGAGACAACAGAGAGCCACAGTGAATGGAGAGACAACAGAGAGCCACAGTGAGAGGAGAGACAACAGAGAACCACAGTGAATGGAGAGACAACAGAGAGCCACAGTGGCAATAACAGGGCTTAAGCTTCCTTTCTTAATATCTATGATGATATTTAGTCTGGTCACACTGCCTTTTTCGTGTCCTCCAGAAGGTGCCTCCTTAGCTTGTGGGACGGGGCAGCAGCGGACATAGCGTGTTGGACGGGTGTTGCACAGGAAGAGAGTGGACAGTTTGATCTTACCTTTTATTCTGCAATTTGGGAAAATAAAGATTCATCTTGGTGTGGGAATATTTTATTTTTGGTTATGGAATTATATTTTTGAAAATCAGAAATCTTCAAGATTTAAAACATTGCACAAGTCGCGGAGACAAATACATTAATTTATACTCAAGCCGCCGGCTTTCTGTCCTCTTCGAGGCCACTAGAGAAAGTGTCCCTCAGGTATATTCAGGTCTCTCACTCATGACGAAAATATATTTTCCGACGAAGTAATATTGTTACTGTTTTTCTATATATATTTGGGGTAAGTTTTGTTGGCACAGAGCCTTGACCTTCATGGGTAGAGGCATGAATAGAGCCCATAGAGACAGGATACAGAGCCCTAACAGAGAGGAACGAAAGACTTTAAAAGCCATATTCTTGCCTCGTTATTCATTTCAACTAATCTGCTGCTTAATACTAAAATTTTATCACTCTGTAAATTTCCCAAACACTTAAATATTTATCTAAATAACACATAAGCCATCTACCATCAGCTGTTAGTCTGACGATCTTCTTGTTATATCTTATTATAAGGAGTTATTAAGACTAATTTGACCAGTATTTATTAAGTAATTAGTTAACCATCGTTAATCTGACAGAGATATCTGAATGGAACTTTGCAGGCTAATGGAGTAAAAGCAAGAAGCAGGTTATTCATATTTAGATGTGTGGAGCGCGCCCCGGACGCCGCCGGGTCGCCCTGTAACAGTGGCTTCTATTTGAGCATCATGGGTGTCCCGCTCAGAACGCTCCAACACGCTCTCACCAACAGCCTCCCACTTCGCTTGAATGTTGACCATTTCCAAGACATGAAGTTCGTAAAATCTTGCCATGTCGGAAGGTCTCCAACAGGGTCCTGGGTGAGGAACTGTTGGAAGTGTTTTGCCTTCATGCCATTACCGCGGTCTGTCTCCGTTAGGCCCGCTTCCTCTCCCGCAGCGCAGACTTGGTCTTCCCCTCCTCGCCCTCCCATGCCTTCTTTTGTTTTATATTGTATCAACTGGAGGTTGAGCTGTGACTTCGAGTTCCCCGGAGATAGAAGCCCCTCAGCATGCAAACTCCCTTGGTTAACATTACCTTGTGCATTAGTTCTTCCTGTCCGAGGTGACGCTTGACTTGGATCTGCACCTTGACCCTGATACATGTTAAGCAAGGAGGTGTTGGTGAAGGTGTACACGTAGCAGGAGGGGTCTGAAGACGTGGTCACAACCCAGTGAAACGAACCGCTTGGAAGTACCAACCTTTCTCCTGCGCCAAGGACCACTGACTGATGGTTCTTCATTGAGTTTTCCTTTCCGTTTTCGCCTGACGCTGCACGGGAAGACTGGGCCATGTTGTTGACATACTCATTCTGTAATTTCTCGAGATTTTCCAAATACTGAAAATCTCCTTTATCTATCTCTTTAGTTTTATCTTGGATATAGTTTTTGATGATTTCTGAGTCGTGACTTTCTTTTCCTCTTATGTTAGAGAAGCTGTGATGCTCCGAGATGGAGTGATCTTGTGAATGCTTTGGACTTGGAAAAAGCGTATGGCACTGTTCAGCACTATACCAATTGCCAGCGTCGTCACTACACGAGGCTTGGAGGCTGTCAGCCCCTGCTTTGTCATCACACGGGGCTTGGAGGATGTCAACCCCTGCGTCAGCCGGCAACATGACCAACACCTCACCTTGCAGGATTTCCAGAGTGACATTGGCCAAGTCCTCGCTCAGGAAGTTCTCCAGTGTCAGACCTGAAGGAGGGAGCCATGTGATGCTTAGCACCGGGATTGGGAAAATAAAAACAAAGACGGACCTACACAATGTGACAACCCAACACGACACTTCAAGACGATGTGTCATCACCTTTATTATTCACAAAAAAAATATATCGCACTTTTTCATCATCCATAAACCAAAATGAGCACCACAAGTCTCTGTATCAAACCCAGAATCATCTTCATAACTTTTAAAAACATCAACATTGTTGCCACAATCACCAGCACAATCAACACCATCATCACCAACGTCACAATCATTCACTGTTGTTGTTGTTGTTGTTTTAGATTCAGCTACTCAGAACAAAAAGTTCCAAGTAGCACGGGCTATGGTGAGCCCGTAGTGGACTAACCTGGCACAGGAGCGGGGCTGTAACTGTCTCTCAATCATTCACTGTTATCGTAATCAATTATACGGCCTTTATTAGAGTGATCTCTCCTCTCCTCCTCTCCCCCTCTCCTCCTCATTCCCTTATCCTCCTCTTCTCCTCACTCCCCTCCCCTTCCTCTCATCTTTAGGCCCCTCCCCTCTCCCTCCAGGAAGACCTCACCTGGGAAGTCAGCAACAAAGATGGCGTCGGCAGCCGGGTTCGCCATCCACACTGACTCCTGCAGCTGCCGAAGATGTCCTCTCCACCCGCTGAGCTCGGACACCACCGGCAGCACCCACCGCGTCTGGCCCAGGGCGAGGGGTCCTCAGTAGGTGCGGCAGTAGATGCATAACAGGAATGGGAAGGATAGTGGCGAGTGAAGAGATATATCAAAGAGGGAGGTAGATAGCCTCAGATGTCTAAGAGGGAGGTAGATATCCTCAGATGTCTAAGAGGGAGGTAGATATCCTCAGATGTCTAAGAGGGAGGTAGATATCCTCAGATGTCTAAGAGGGAGGAAGATACCCTTAGGAGATGCCCCAAGAATATGAGAAGGTAGAGGCACAATGTCCAACAGAATAGTAATATTAGCAGATAACGGCCCGTGTAAAGATGGCTGTCCAAGAGCACGCCAGAGATCAGAGTGGTTGAAGGAAGAGGCAGAAGGGGCGGTGGCAGGTGTCCAACAAGGGCCCAGCTGATTTTTTATATAAATAGTAGTCAATATATTAACAGAAATTTTAATTGAGAAGTTGGTAGACAAGAGCTGCAGCCCGGCTGACGTGCCCGCGGGGTATAATACCCTCATGTCCGATCATACCACTCAAAACATAACCCAGCATAATAATAATAATAATAATAATAATAATAATAATAATAATAATAATAATAATAATAATAATAATAATAATAATAGAGCTATATCTATGAGAGATAATGTGTCTAAGATTAGAGGCCAAAAGCTTCACCCAACTGTGACTCATGCAGCATGTGGGGTATGGGAGTGTCGTAGTCTGGGTCGACTACAGTGTCACACTAAGAAATATGGGCTTCTAACCTCCCCCCCCCCCACTCCTCCTCATGCCATTTTCATGACATCAAATATGAAATACTGGTTGTGTTCCCCGTAGACTTATTTAGCAGTTTCAATGATATTCATCGCTTCGTTTTGATATTGGCATGAGGTACCTGGAGCTTTGCAATTACTTTATACACTCTCGTGTTCTTGAAGATATCCTTATATTGCACCCAAAATTTGCCAGTGGAGGCTACTGAACATATGGCCCTATATGACTAACCAACCTGTGTGATGGGGATTTTTAGCATCACGTAGCTAGCTTTTGACACTGTACTCCCCGTCACATAGTCTAGGGCAGCTGCACAAATGCAGATGTACCTAAATGTGTTAATAAAAAAAACTCGTTATATATTTTCTCTGAAAAAGAGAGTGTGGAGGGGAAGAGAAGGAATTAGAAGAGGGAGGAAGGACGATGTTTAAAGAGAGGAAAGAGAAAGGGGGGATACAGAAGGAGAGCAGAAAAGGGATGGAGAGGGGGAATCAGAGTGGGGGGAGACTAGGAGAGAGGGTGGAGAAAGGAGGGAGAAGAAGGAGAGGGGGTTATGTTGGGGGAGAAAGGTGGAGAGAGGATAGATTGGGAGAGGGGGAGGGGGAGAGAGACCCGGGAGCAGCCAGGTATCCCATCTAATAATATTATAAATAAAAACTTTTACTGCTATTTTAATTAATATTATAATTGTTATAATTATTATTATTATTGAAATGGCAGCAAAGGGGTTGGAGTGATGGAGGATAGTTAACACCCGTCACCCAGACACCAGTCATCAGCACCAACAACCACAGCGGCGGCGGCTGACACAGTCTCCTGGAGGGTGGGTATGATTCCCAACACTCATATATATCTATATACATCTCATTCCCCTGGGCACTAGGAGGCTCGAACCCCCGACTCCACGAGTGGGCGACAGAACCTCTATCCACCTTGCTATAAGCAGTCTTCATAAGGAAAGATTCCAGACGCATTTAACTGCTGCCCAGCTGGAATTTACCACTTTCCTTAATACTGAGCAAGGAAAATTTCCTTAATTTGGAATGTCTTTATTAATTAAGACTCACTGCTCATAGCAATGTAGATAGAGCTTCTGTCACCCACCCATGGGGTCGACAAATGAAAATAAAACAAGAAATAGTTGAGCTAGGCGCTCACCTCCTGCCAGGGGGACCAGGGAGCCTTCAGGATGTTGACGTTGGGATCAAACACCCGCTGCTGGAATCTGCCGTTGAGGGACTTCCAGACATCGAGGTGGAGGGCGGAGATGGGGAGGCCCCTGTCCGCCAGCCGCTGCTCCACACACCCTCCATACTGAACGACCATGTCTGCGTGGCTCGTCCACCGGTTGCTCTTCACCCACGTCTGGTGACAGGGGGGGGGGGTGAGGGGGCCAAGGTTTACACAGAGTCTTGCTCATGTATGTACATGTCTATGTAATATTACCAGTTGTGTAACTAGCTTCACAAAATTGTCACTTGCTTAGCTAAACGAACTATGGCGTCCAGTTCCTGAACCCATTATGTGCCTCTGTAATCCTTTCCACCCCGACCACGGGATGGGTATGGGGTGCATAATAAATAAATTAAATAAAAAAAAATGCAGTTGCTCAACCCTTGCACACCAGCCTTCTAAAATGAAAGTACATATAGTAACTATTTGGTGGAAAGTACCAATATGTAGTGACGGACCACTAGAGAGTTAACTTTCGTATTATTGAATTTAGACAAATCAGAAACTTTTTTGTTAACAGGAACATAAATATAAGACCTAATCTTATACTGTACTAAGGTACATTGCTCTCATAGCAATCCTAAGCCTAACGCACACTATCTTAGGCCAAATATAGTACATATATTGCAAGACCTTGCATGTGGGGCATAGCAACTCGCGCCACAACTACCAAATTAATAACATTCCATTACAGGAGATTGGTGAAGAAAAGGACCTTGGAGTCAATATCCACCACTCACTAAAAGTTGCACAACAGGTGGGGGCAGCAGTCAAAAAAATTAACCAAACCCTTGAAATAATCAAGCGTACCTTTGATTTTAAGGAAATGAAGGTGGCGATTCAATTGTATAAATCTCTGGTGCGGTCCCATTTGGATTACTGTAGCCAAGCATGGAGACCTCATCTTCAGAAGGACATAGCTGTTCTGGAGAAGGTGAAACACCGGCCAAGAAAAATCATTCCAGAGCTATCTCTCGTACCATGAACGGTTGAGGACCACTGGGTTAACAACACTGCAAACCAGGCATGACGGTAGATATTGAAACTTAAAATATTTAATAATTTGGTGGATGTTGGTCTGGAAAATCTCTTCATAAGGTCTAATGTGACACAGACAAGTGTAACGGTTTCAAGCTCGACAACCCGCAATAAAGGACTGAGAACATTAGATGCTTTTTCACCCACAGGGTTATAAACCCATGGAATCGCCCTCCCGCCGAAGCCGTAAACGCCAAAACTCTGTTGAATTTCAAAATCAAGCTGGAATAGACAAGCCGCTGGCTTCCTGTCCTCGTCGAGGTCACTAGTGTATATCCACTCACCCTCTTATTCACGGCCCCAGGTAAATCAGTTAAATATACTATATGCTAAACAAGGCCTGGAAATATTTTAAAGTTTTTAGCTTTATTTTTCCCCAGACTATCAAACTAACAGTACGAAAAGTGGTTTAGTGATGGTTCATCCCCACATATTGGTACTTCCACCAAATAGTTACTGTAAGTACTATTGTTTATGGAGGATGAATTCACCCTTGACAGAGGCACTGGGCGTTGCTTGTCATTAATGTGAAGGTAAACTGCAGAGTCTACCACCATCACAGTCTACAAACCACGGATGGAGAACCAGGCAGTCTCTCCAGTAATTATTAAGGTCAGAAACAATACTCAACCTTTCACCAAGGCACAAGCAAGATCTATTTACAAAAACAACATATACAAAGACAAAAATGTATGAAACGAAGAAACGGGCCGAATCTATTCTCTAAGAAATATTAAATTAGTTAAAAATCCAGCTCACTTCGTAATTACGGTGACTTTTTGCCAAAGTTCGGGATATTTACAAGATGTTTGAAAAAGTATGACAACTCTTTAGTCTTCAAACTTCCATTCATTAGATTTTCACCAATTCTCAGTGTACTCATCCCCAGCTTCATGTATGACGGATCTGTCGCTGTGCTGTGAACTGTGCGAGAACTGTGTTCTCTCCTCATTCTTATCCTGTTGTTCACCGGTGACCTGTCTTCCTCCCAGGTACAATACGTCCCTTGCAGCCTCAGTCATTCCCGCTCTTTATAGTCTCGTCCGTTTGTCTCTCATCTTAACTTCCTTTCCTGTTGTGGCACTTATAATTTATTTACTTTTTTTACAATAAAGCCTAGTTTTTGGAAATTACATTAAATAGCAAACTACAGTCGATTTCAGGCTTTCAGGCTTCAGGCAAAGACTTCAGGAGGTAAAAAGTTTACAATTGCTCATGAGGATATCCTCAACACTTTCCTCTCCCAATGTGGTTTGTCTCACCTTATTATCTCTCTCAATAAGTCAACATAATTAACCCCCTTGTCACCTAGTGCGGGCTAGGTATCCAAAGTCTCTTTGTTACACTTTTTTAAATGAAATTTTAATTTAATTTTTATTAGTCATTTATTGGACTTAATTAATTGAGTGCATTAATATTTTCTTTAGTTCTTACTAATTATAGGATCATAACTAAACTATTTATAGTTAATAATCATTAGATTAAATTTGCCTATGTTCATTATTCACCTTTTTCCTTGCTTTCATTTATTAGCTAGGTTGCCTAGCCTCGCCATACTCCCTTACTCCATTGTACCCCTGGCTTTGCCTGTGTCTCAAAATGCAAATTATTACTTACAGTGTACCTGAGAGTACTTGTAAGCAATCTACCTCATTTCTCTTTTTTTTTTGTGTTGTTCATTTTGTGTTTGTCTTGTATAGTCTTGTTTAGATTTGTATTATTTCCCCTCTTTTATATAAAATTTTTATTTTGTAATTGCCATTCTTGCCTTGTTTTCCTACAACCAGCCTTCTTATGCAAACAAGTATAGACCCAGAACTAAATCTCTTATCCACTATCTATGACAATCATCACTTTAATCATCGAAATTGCAGATATTACACAATTTGCGTGTCTTTCAAAAATCGCTGCTTTATTTTCCCTGACACAGACATGGTGAAGAACTGTCCACCACCCTGTGCTTCCTCCGACACCTTTGTCTCCAGTCTTTAAGCAGCTGCATGGAGTTTGTTCTTGACCCACTTACTGCTTTATTCCCGAGATAATGCACTTTCTGCAATGTTTACACTTGACATGAACCTATTCAAATAAATGCAACATAGAGATAAAAAGCAGGGAGGAGGAGGGGCCCTGGTGTGGGGACTGACGGTGGGGTCGAGGTAGAGTGTCTCTCCGGAGTGAGTGGTGACGGCGGTGACCTTGACGTGGAGTGTGTCCCAGGAGTGTACCATCATGTCCCAGCTGTACCCGTATGGTCCCTCCGTCCACGTGTTGTAGCCCTGCCGACATAAACAACACCACCATGCAGTCGTCACCCTCAACTCCCCCACGTGTCCAGACTGTATCGTTGTGTAAACCATTTATTGTATCACAGTATATCATTTATTTAATCACTGTGTAAATCATTTATTGTATCACTGTGTAAACCTTTCGCTGTCCCACTGTGTAAACTGTATCACTAGTTTTGCTTCATTAACAAGTGTTGATAAAAAGGCTCCACTTTCTAGAAACACAACGAACCCAAGTTCCGACTCTTGTGGTACTCCACTTGAAGTACCAGTAATGTCGACCTTCGTGGTACTCCACTTGAAGTACCAGTAATGTCGACCTTCGTGGTACTCCACTTGAAGTACCAGTAATGTCGACCTTCGTGGTACTCCGCTTGAAGTACCAGTGATTATAACAATTTGCTTCTTTCGTGAGTGGTACTGCGTATCTGGCTTCACTGAGCGTCTCCTGTGTGGAACAGTATCACATGTTCTAACACTCGAAGGATATACAGTTATCCCTATCCATTTCTTGTTTGATTTGCATCATCTTGTAGAATTCAAATGTATGCCTAGCAGGATTTTCCTCGCAAAACCCATGCTGGTGACTGGAGACAACGCTTAACTCTTCAAGCTGTTTTAAGAGACTGTTTAGGAACAGTCTGACAACTCGCAGGGATGCTTGTTAGTGATGCTGGTCGGTAGTTTAGTGAATCTTGTCTTCTGCCTCTTGTTATAGTGTGTACTCACCTACTTGTGCCTGCAGGATCGAGCATTAGCTCATGGACCCCGCCTTTCTAGCTGTATTTGGTTAATGTTATGACCCCGGTCCTATTTCCCTATCATATCTAATTTAAAACTATGAATAGAGTTTATTTCCACAACCTGCGTCTTTAATTTATTCCATTTTCCCACTACTCTCACACCAAATGAAACCTTTCTAACATCTTTATGATTCACCCGAGTTTCAAGCTTCCAATCATGCCCACCTTGATCTGTTGGTGTTCAGTGTGAACATTTCATTTATTTCCACTCTGTCAATCCCCTTAAGTAGTTCATACGTTTCTATTATTTCTCCCCATTCTCTCCTTTTTTTTAGTGTCGTCAGGTTCAGTTCTTTCAGTCGCTCTTCATCCCATCCCTCGCATCTGTGGGATGGGTCTCGTCGCTAACTTCTGAACCTTTTCCAATTTCCTATTGTGTGTCTTCAAATGTGGGGTTCCTTGATGGGGCGGCATACTCTAAGACTATTCTCATGCAGGTAGTGTAAAGTGTTTTAAATGCCTCCTTACTTAGTTCCTGAATGATGTTCTAACTTTTGTTAGCGTAGAGTACGCTGCTGACGTTATCCTATTTGTGTGTGCCTCAGGAGGTAGACTTGGTGTTACGTCCACTCCCAGGTCTCTTTCTCGAGTCGTCACAGATAGGTCGCTCCCTTCATTGTGTACTTTCCCTTTTTCCAATTTTTATCACTTTACACTTGCTCATGTTGATCTTCAGTAGCTATTTCTCTGACTATCTCTGCAACTTATTCAAGTCCTCTTGAAGGGTCCTACAATCCTCATCTGTCACAACTCGTCTCATTAATTTTGCATCTGTAAACATCGACATATAGGACTTTATTTATGTAGACATGTCATTTACGTATGTCAGAAATAACACAGGTCTCAGCACCAATCCTTGAGGTGCTCGTTACTGTTCTCCAGTTTGACTTCTCGCCCCTAACTGTTACTCTGGCTACTGCCTGTTAGGCAATTCCTTACGTATGTACGTGTGTGTGTGTGTGTGTGTGTGTGTGTGTGTGTGTGTGTGTGTGTGTGTGTGTGTGTGTGTGTGTGTGTGTGCGCGTGATAGACGCGGGGAGCCTCACCTTGGTGATGAAGTGAGAGAAGGGGAGGCAGAGCTGGAGACACAGGTAGACGAGCACCGCCACCGTCGTCGCCTTCTGCTGGCCCGTCACACACCCGTCCTCTCCTGCAACACACACATCTCAAGCGTGTAGTAACCCAACACACACATCTCCCGCGTGTAGTAACCCAACACACATCTCCCGCGTGTAGTAACCCAACACACACATCTCCCGCGTGTAGTAACCCAACACACACATCTCCCGCGTGTAGTAACCCAACACACACATCTCCCGCGTGTAGTAACCCAACACACACATCTCCCGCGTGTAGTAACCCAACACACACACATCCTCGGGTGCCCCGGGGCACCCGACACACAGGCCATGTTGGCAGGTGCCCCGACACACAGGCCATGTACGCAGGTGCCCCGACACACACGTATCCTCACCTGGATAATAACAGCTAGGATTCCTTTTCAGCGTTCGGAGTATATCCTGGTCGGCAACCGTTTTCCCTGCTTCAGTAAACTTGGGCGCTATTGGCTGTGTTGCGTCAGGTGAGGCTTCCGCTCCTGCCTCCAGGAGTTTCCCCTCACTGTTATCACCTCCCACTGCTTCCCCTTGCCTTTGGGCGTGTGCTTGTTCTCCTGCAGCGGAGGAAGGGCCGTCATTCCCCGGTGTTAGCCCGGATGTGCTGACTGGGTTAGGAAGTGTGTGGCTTGCAGGCAGCAAGGAGCTGAAGGCTTCGAGGAAGGGGCGAGGCCAGGAGGTGCTGCAGAAGATGGGCAGCGTCACCAGACACACCCAGGGGAACATTCCTGTGTGGAAGGTGTAGGTTACACAGAAGGTGTGTAGTGTGGTATAATTTGTGTTTGTGGGGCTTCGATGGTGGTTGTAGGGATGGGGGTGGGGGGGGAGCGTGTGTGTAAAATTATATGTAGGTGAAAACATATGTGACTTGAAGCACAAGAATTATACATTATATTATGAGACCCATATCGGTTTTGACATGATCAGTACCAGCGTTGAGTCCAAACCCGTCACACAAGAGAACCTGAGAAAATCTAGAGATTTTCCACCAGACTTGTTCCCGAGAATAAGGATGAGTTTCGATAACAAGATAGAAGATTTCGCAAAACCAGAGGATCGAGGATACAGAGGCAACATTTTCATATTATATAAGATACTAAGACGTTTCAACAAGATGGAGACAAACTGTAGGAGGAAGTACAGGATGTAAACTAAATTCACAGATTCCAAATGTTAAATATATGACACATGGAGTTGGGTAGACTTCACATCGGGTGATTCATGGTCAAGAAGCGGGACCCGTGAGTTATAGGTCAATCCCCTGAAACAGAAATGCGCGCGAGCGCGCCGGTAACTGACCTATGGAGAAGATTTGAGCATTCATGAGGTGGAACGCTGCCCCGAGGACGAGCCCCACCGGCCTGCTGGCGTCGAAGAAGAGGAGGAAGCCGAGGGAGGAGTCCAGGGCGAAGCCTCCCAAGTGGACGACGAAGAAGTCGATGTTGTCGTCTGTCAGGAAGACTCTGTAGAGGAACACGAAGGCTTAGAATCTATACCAAGGTAATCCCCTGGGAACACTAACTGTTAAATCCTGTCTAGAGATATGAGGTCAGAAAAGAAGGCACTTCGGTCCTCTCAGAGAAAGAGAGAGCAGTAGGATTACCTGAAGGGGGTGAAGACCCAGTGTTGAGCGAGGCGTTGCATGGAGTACCCGCTCAGCCAGTCGAGGTCGACCTTCTTCACTCCTGCCAAGAAGTAGAGTAGGAACAGCTGGGCCCTCAGGAGGGTGTAGTTCCAGAGGGGGACATGACTTGCCCCCGACAACCCATCTCCCCCTACCTCTGCCGACCTGGAGAGGAGGAGCGGGTGAGTGAGGTAGAGGAGAGGAATTGACTGTAGACTATTTCTGCAACGATGCTGAAAACCAGAATAAACTAATCACGAGAATAAATACAGAAAGCCTAAGCATTCTATTGTATGTAATAACTATTAGAATTCCCCGCTTTGGGTACTTTTTTACCATGAGATAGCCAGTCTTAAGTGAGTTTCATCGTCTTCAGAAGATAAGCATTCTGCTCCTGTTTGTCCACAGAGCCCTAGCCCTTCCTGATTCCTTTTATTTTACGTTTTGATTTCTTATGCTGTATAGTATTAGGAAGTCTGGCCTCGAAGGCCTTGATTTTCAAGATTATCATTCGTGAGTCTTAACGTCAAGCCTATACTACCAGGGGGCCACTGAGGCGCGGCTGTGTGTGTTCATCTATATGTATCGGGGGTTCTATATGTAGATCTTTTCATCTATATGTATTCGGGGGACATTCGACAAGCCGCTGGCTTCCTGTCCTGGTCGAGGCAACTAGAGTTAGTGTCCCCTCAGGTAAATCAGGTATCTGCAGGATTAAGCTTTTTTTTACCTCTTCCATCCCGCTTGTCCAACTGCCGGCTGTAAACACTAGACCAACTACTGACAATCTCCAGGATACAACACGCAACATCAGTTTTTGGTCCTAGGTAAAGTATACGTCAAAATGTGACGTGTTATTAGAAGGATTGAGCGAGGGGAGGTAGAAAAGACGAGGCAAGAATGACATACTTTGGAGTTTTCAGTAGCGTTTTCACTGTACAATGAACCAGCAGAAGATAGAAAGAGATAGGGCTCCCGTACCTGCCCATTGTCAAGTTTGAAACAATACATGAGTGGTGTACGTACTGACACAATAAAGTGAAGAGGCACTTCATTGTATAAGTAAGTTTGTTGTGATCAGTGAGCCGTGACCCCAACACCTACCAGCACCTATGGGGGTCGCTAACAAGGAGGATAGAAGCGAGGAGGCCGTAGAGGTAGGAATGGTTGTTCCAGGTGGTCTTGTCCAGGAGGAAGACGTACCAGTAGCAGGCGACGAAGGTGGTGCAGACCGCCCGCCACCGCCACCCTACCACCATCAGGGCCGCACCTGACCACATACACACACACAATGTTAACATTCTCCATTATTTATAGTACTTATACTCCTATAGAAACTATCAGTTAAACATACAAAAATGGACTTTTGTATACCAAAAAAAAAAAAATTAACTTTATGTATTATTGGATTACACCAAACAGCAAACCAAAAGGTAGAACAGTTAACTATATATAATCTAACCAAACATTTCCTAGACGTAATATAATATAGACCTGGCATATAATAAGAACTCCTAGTCTTAATATATGCCATCTTATCCCTTATTGTGTACATATATGTGCTATACTACGTCCAGGAAAGTTTAGTTGTTGTCATTCTCGTGCCCTCTACAAGAGTACGACACGTAGATTGTGTCGAACTCTTGGGAGTAACAGAAGGACGACTCTGGTAATCTCATTAGGAATCATCTTATGGAGAGAAAGTGAGATAGCTAACATCCTCCAGTACGCCGTAGAATAAAACGGGACTTGATTAAAGCGAAAAAAGGTGATAATGCTCAACTAGATGGATATCATTGTTCTAAATACATAAATCCAAATAAGAACACGGAAAAATCGAGTAACACGAGAAATTTAGGTTATAATACAAACGTAACAGTTGTTTCGGAAATATGGCTACAGACCTGTGGAACAATGTACCAAGCATCATCATAGAAGCAACTCGCTGAAATGTGTCCAGCATAGGCTACCTACACGATTGGGAGAGCGAGGATACAAGGGGGTGCAGCCTAGCATCAGCCAAAAGGCCTTCTGCTGTTTCCGCCATTCCAACGTATTTTTCCGTTATCCTGCCTTTATGTGTCAGGTAGTAACTAAGGTACGTACACAGGAGCAGGAGCCCGTAGAGCAGCACCATGTACGGCAGGGGCGGGGGGGTTAGGAAGGACAGGAGGGGGAAGCGGCAGGTGTTGGGGTCACCCCACTTCACGTCGGCCACCCCAAGACCCCTCTCCTGCGGCACGTCCAGCACCATCAGCACACCTGTAGGGGAAAGTGGGGCATATGTTGTTATTGATTCAGCTACTCGGAACAAGTTCCAAATAGCATGGGCTATGGTGAGCCCGTGGCTTACCTGGCAGAGGAGCGGGGCAAGTAGCAAGTAGCAAGTCTGGTGCCCTTGAGGAGATACCAACTTTAATCTACAAAAAAGCCTCCAGATCTTTAGCCCCTGCTATTGCTTTGCTCTTCAACAAGTCACTTGAACTCCAAACCTTTCCAGATATTCTAAAAAAAGCGAGAGTAACGCCTGTCCACAAATGTGGTGATCTCACAGATGTTAACAACTACAGACCTATATCAATCCTGCCAAACTTGTCAAAAATTTTTGAAAAACTAATCTATAAGCAGCTTTACTCATATCTAGCCAAACTCAATATACTTAGCCCTTGCCAATATGGCTTCAGGCCCAAAAAAGCACTAACGATGCACTTATTAGTATGCTTAACTCGATTCATACAGCTCTTGATCAAAATGAGTTCCCTGTTGGGTTATTTGTGGACCTGCGTAAAGCTTTCGATACTGTCAACCACCAAAACCTTCTTCTTAAATTACATCATTATGGTGTCAGAGGACACTCCCTACAATACCTCAAATCCTACCTTACTGACAGGCTCCAATGTGTTTCTGTGAATAATACAATTTCTCCCACACTACCCATCAACATTGGTGTTCCCCAGGGCAGCATACTTGGCCCTCTCCTCTTTCTCATCTACATTAATGACCTTCCAAATGCCTCCCAACACCTCAAACCAATTCTATTTGCTGATGACACAACCTTCATTTACTCCAGTCCTGATCCCCTTGCTCTAAATGCCACAGTAAATACTGAGCTTAATAAAGTCCATCTGTGGCTAACTGCCAACAAACTCACCCTTAACATTGACAAAACTTTCTATATTCTGTTTGGCAATAAATCATCTAATCAAATAAATCTCAAAATAAACAATACCCAAATTTGTAACAAATTAGATGGCAAATTCCTTGGCATTCTCATTGACCACAAGCTGAATTTCCAGGGACACATTCTAAACATATCAAAAAAAGTTTCAAAAACTGTGGGCATTCTTTCTAAGATCAGATATTATGTACCACGCCCTGCCCTGGTGACTCTCTATTACTCCCTTATCTATCCATATCTCAACTATGGTATTTGTGCTTGGGGCTCTACTACCCAAAATCACTTACGTCCTCTAATTACTCAACACAAAGCTGCTATTAGGACAATATCCAATTCTGGCCCCAGACATCACTCGGTACCCCTACTCAAATCTCTGAATATGTTAGACATTAAGTCACTGCACATTCTCTCATGTGTATTATACATATATAAAACGCTAAACTATAATGCCAATCCTGATCTCAAAAGCTTCATAGAAGGTTGTAACAGAACCCATGAGCACCACACCAGAAATAAATACAGTTTTGATATTCCTAGAGTACGACTAAATCAAACCAGAAATGCTCTACAAATCAAGGGACCCAGAATGTGGAAGGACCTTCCCAATCATGTTAAAGACTGTACCTCTCTCAACCAGTTTAAGTTAAAAACGAAGATATACCTAATAAATTCCCTGTAACCTACCTTACCCCCCTGTTGTCAACCCATGTATATTTTTTGTTTTTTTGTTTTTCAAATCAACGCTGTTTGAATGTAATTTTCTGTAATAATTTGTAATTGTATTTGTGCTGCTTTTTCAACAATGTTCCCCCCCTCTTTTACCTCTATTTTTTATATGTACTCATCACATCTTTTCTTTTTACCCATTAGTTTTAAGCTGTAGTCATTAATGTTTTTCCTGCCCGAAACGCTTTGCGTAATAGTGGCTTTAGGCATTGTATGTACTAGCTCTATCTATAAAGCCAACAAACTTTGCAAATCTCTTTATGTATGTACCTTACCTAAATAAAGATTATTATTATTATTATTATTATTATTATTATAGCATGGGTTACAGTGAGTCCGTAATGGACTCAGCACAGAAGCGGTGCTGTGTGGTGGGGCATAATTATACCTGTATAGTGAAAGGTGGGCCATAATTTCAGCAGTATAGTGGGAGCATAATTACACCTGTTTAGTGGGAGCATAATTATACCTGTCCAGCGGGAGCATAATTACATCTGATTAGTGGGAGCATAATTACACCTGTGTAGTAGAAGGTGGCAGCATAATTACACCTGTATAGTAGGAAGTGGGATCATAATTACACCTGTGCAGTGGGAGGTGGGATCATAATTACACCTGTATAGTGGGAGGTGAGGACAAACGACTCGTATCTTAGAAGCATTTGCCATGTTATTTTACTAACGTGTTACTCAGTGACTCGTCGCGTACTGATTCAAAGCCTACTCACTGACTTATGTTGTAGGCTAGTGATGTATGAGAAAATAATACGTGTGACTGGGGCCTCACCGAACATGACTCTGGTAGCGGCGAGGGCGGCAGGGTCGCAGGGACGGTGCAGCAGGCGTGCCAGAGCGGTCAGGCTCAACAGCTCCCTTGGTTTGAACCCCAGCACCTCTGTACATTTCTGAAGGGATGAGAAACTACTTAAACATCGCGCAAACGTATGCCAGATAAAATATTATGCATTTATTTTTTCAAAGTAATCCGCCGGTGAATTTGACAAGGAATCATCTGATGTTTTGTTTAATATGGGTCTTTAACGGAGAGAGAAGTCCCAGAAAGACTCTCCGACCCCTCCTGATGTCTTGAACACTTACTGAACCACATGCAGCATTCCTGGAGTCCCGGGGCTCCTCGGCACGATCCTGCGGCTCTCCTGCATTACTCTGACACTCCCCAGCAGGATCCTGGGTCGTTACTGCAGGATTCCTGGCCTGGTGTATAGGACGCAGCTCTTCCGCTGTGGAGCCTCCCGCTGCTGGCCCGTGATGTGGCCACTCCATCCGCCTGGAGGGTCACACACCGGTCAATATACTGTGTACAGTACTGGCTTTGGATGTGTACTATACTCATCTTTGTTGTGTACAGTACTCACTTTGTTTAATGGGCTAACACTTAAAATTAAATGAAAAGAAACTTATCATAATTTAATTGTCAAAGAGATTTACTAAATGATTGACAATTTTTAAGTGAAATTTATATACTGCCGTTTTTAACAACTGCGTAAATATAATATTTAATGTTGACAATAACACCAAAACGCAGGTGTAGTTGCATGCATGTAGGGTGAGGAAAGGGGATTAAAATTGGTTATATGATAATTAAGTATATTTTAGTTTCTTAAACTGGTTGGAAGAAGTTTTTTAATCTCATTTGTGAGGTCATTCCGCAGTCTAGGATGCCTTAAATTACAAAACAATTCTTTTTTGGTTAAGTCACACTCTTGGAATATCAAAAGGATATTTGCCGTGGTTCCCATAGGGTTTGTTACACCCCTCTAGGAAGTGTTTCAGGTCAGAATTAGTATAGCAGTTCAGAGATTTATAGATATAGAGCACATTTGAGTGTGTCTTTAGTGACGATATTTAACATATTCGAAGATTTCAGTAAGGGTGCTGAATGCTGTCTGGGACGAGTTTGTTATTGTTCTAATTGCTTATTTACGTTAAGTAGTTAGGGAAGGTATTTTGATAATTTTGGATTGCAAAACCACAGGCACAGATACCGTAGATAACCGTAGATACCATAGAATGAATAATAAAAGTGATAAAAGTGACTCCAAGGCAGAGCGAGATACGTAGTATCGCTTTTATGGGAGAAAGCCTATTGTTTTAGAAACTTTTTTTGTTTAGAAACTTTTGTTTTTTGCATATGATAATTATTTATAGCATCATACATAAAGACAGGAATGCATGCATGCACACATGTATACCTGTTTTACCTGAGGGCCACTAACACTAGTGGCCTCGACGAGGATAGGAAGCCGCCGGCTTGTCGAAGGTACCCCCAGTTGCCTTGATAAATCAATGTATGTATGATGAAACATACATACACAGAAGTGTAAACAATGTTAGACCAAAAGAATCAACATAAGAGAAGCAGTACAGTCAGCCCAAGGTGAAGTCTCACTCCACTGCTCGTCAACTGACGGAACAATGGTTAGTGTGTTTGCTAATGAGGGCAAAGGTCAACTAGATTCACCAGTAGAGGTGCAGAGGGCGAGTGGGTGAAGATGTCAATAATAATAATTCATTGTGTCGGGGGACAAGCAGCCAGTATATATGTATATATATAATCATACATGTTATGTATGAACACATGTTATGCTTACATTGAGGTGCCACCCCTCCAGGGTAGAATTACTGACCCTCCCCAGGATGCAACCCCGCAACAAGCTAACTCCTAGGTACTATTTACTGCTAGGTGAATAGGATCATTAGGTGATAGGGAACACGCCTAATCATTTCTGCGCCACCCGGGACTCGAACCCGAACCCACTTCCGGGAGTGTATAATATTCAGTGATAATTACTACATGGAACAATGAAATTATTTCATTGTGCATATGAATGCATCATTAAAATATTGACAGACAGTATTTCAATCATTGTGCATTCATTTAATAATGCACAATAATGTGCACCATAATTGAAATTATTGTGCATTTCAAGCTCTGGTGAAATGCACAATGAAATCACATTACCGTGATAGAGGACTCAGTGAAATCCTAAGTTCCTGTGATTTGACCAGGTCGTGGTGTGGTGGTCTAGGGCGTTTGCTTGGGAGTATCAAGTGAGCAGGTTCGAATCCTCCTCATGGCTCCTAATAATTAATATACAATAATTAATACACACCACATACACAGGAAGTTTCAGAACACGATCTACAAAGGGACCAAATCGGGACTACAAGGGGATCGATCGGGACCAAAGAGCCAGAGCTCAACCCCCGCAAGCACAATTAGGTGAGTACAGAGTCTAGACAAACAAGTAAGACACGTTCCAAATGTAGCATATATCGTAGGAATCAGGCGGGACCCAAGAGCCAGCTCTCGCTCGTGGTAGGCTCTGGGAGGTAAATATAGAGCCGGAGGCGTAAGACAGGCAGCTCCAGGCTAAGCTGCCAGATCCCCGCCCCCCCACGCCTCGCTGGAGTGTGATGTTGTCATAGTAACTTGGAGAGAGAGGTGGCCGAGCCTGTGTGTTGTTCTGACAGGTTGGCTACACCTGCAACACTACGACTCCATAAGAACACCTCAGTATAACACCCCCCAGAACACCTCGCTACAACACCACCAGATCACCTTAGTACAATTCCTTAGAATACCTCAACACGACACCTCAAAATACCTTAGAACACTACACCGTGAACACAACAACAGCATTACATCACAGCAACAGTACACTACCACAGCAACACTGCACCATCAGCACCACAGCAACACTACACCATCAGCACCACAGCAACACTACACCAACACCACACTCCCAGACATAAGGGGAGACATGATCACCACCTACAAAATTCACAGAGGAATTGACAGGGTGGACAAAGACAAACTATTTAGCATTAGTAGAACACGAACAAGGGGATACAGGTGGAAACTTAGTACCCAAATGAGCCACATAGACATTATAAATAATTTTTTAAGTGTCAGAGTAGTTGCATGCATTAGGGAGTGATGTGGTGGAGGCTGACTCCATACACAGTTTCAAATGTAGATATAATATAAACCAATAGGCTTAGACATCTGCACACCAGTAGAGTGACGGCTGAGAGGCGGGATCAAAGAGCCAACGCTCAACCCCCGTAAGCACAACTAGGTGAGTACTAAGACTACACCATCAACACCACACTAACACTACACCATCAACGTCACAGCAACACTACATTAACCCCACAGCAGCAAGTAATACACAACAGCAACACTACACTAGAAGATCGCGAGGAAAAGGCTTGTAGAACATCTGGAGAGAAGTAGCTTTGTAACACACCGCCAGCATGGGTTCAGGGATGGTAAATCGTGCCTCGCAGGCTTAATAGAATTCTAGGACCAGGCAACAAAAATTAGGCAAGAATGATTAGGTGGGCAGACTGCAATTCTTGAACTGTCAGAAAGCCTTTGACACAGTACCCTATAAACAGCTGTTACTAAAATTGGAGAAACAGGCAGGAGTAAAATGTAAGGTGCTCAAGTGGATAAGGGAGTATCGAAGCAACAAGAAACAGCGAGAAACTGTGAGGGGGAAGATATTAGAGTGGCGATATGTCACCAGCGGAGTCCCACAGGGCTCTGTACTTGGACCTATCCAGTTTCTGATATATGTAAACTATCTTCCAGAGGTTATAGGCTAATTCCTCTCAATGTTTGCTGATGGTGCAAAAATTATGAGAATAATCAAGACAGATGAAGATAGACAGACTACAGGATGGCCTAAAAGGGAAGGGAACTATCAGGGGAAAGCGCCAAACCACTACGATTATATAGCACTGGGAAGGGGTCAGGATAAGGATTTGGGATGGGACGGGAGGAAGGAATGGTGCCCAACCACTTGGATGGTCGGGGATCGAACGCCGACCTTCATGAAGCGAGACCGTCGGTTGGGTCTCTATAAGTCAAAGTTTTTTTTTTCAAAGTGGTTGGGCAGGATGACCTGGAGAAGCTGGAGGAATGGTCTAGAAAATGGCTACTAAAGTTTGACTCAGGAAAGTGTAAAGTAATATAAATTACCATCCACACTTCCGTGGAAATAAACATACCCTTCACCTGGACTGTTTGGGTCTCGAGCCGTAATACAGGTGGTAATAACACCGTAATAATGAGAGAGCTCCGGCCTCACACGCCTGGGGGCCACGGTTTTGCAACCCGCTCTCGCACAAGATAGTACATATATGACTTATGGCTAATAGTCACTATTTGTCTGATTAATAAGTAAATATGTGGTATATGCCAAGTTATATTTTGTTTTTTAGGTACAAACTCTTCCTGTATATTTGCTAAAGACCAGTTTTAATATTTGCGGTTCGAGACCCATACAGTCTAGAAATATGGAATGTAAAATAATGAAATTAGGTGACGGGAGCAGGAGACTGAACATAAGGTACAATCTGGGAGATGATATCCTGCAAGAGTTAAATAGAGAGAAAGATCTGGGGGTTGATATCACACCAGACCTGTCCCCAGAAGACCACATCAAAAGGATATCATCAACGCCATATGCTAGACTGGCCAACATAAGAACTGCCTTTAGAAACTTGTGTAAGGAATCGTTCAGGACCTTGTATACCACTTATGTCAGACCAATCCTGAAGTATGCGGCTCCAGCCTGGAGTCCATACCAAGTTAAACACAAAGACAAAGTTAGAAAAGATTCAGAGGCATGCCACCTGACTAGTCCCAGAACTGAAAGGTATGAGCTACGAGGAAAGGCTACAGGAGCTAAACCTCACGTCCCTGAAAGACAGAAGAGTAAGGGGTGACATGATAACCACCTATAAAATTCTCAGGGGAATTGACAGGGTGGACAAAGATAAACTATTTAGCATGGGTGGAACACCCACAAGGGGACACAGGTGGAAACTTAGTACCCAGATGAGCCATAAAGATATTAGACGGAATTTTTTCAGTGTCAAAGTAGTTAACAAATGGAATGCATTAGGCAGAGAAGTGGTGGAGGCTGACTCCATACAGTTTCAAGTGTAGCTTTGATGGAGCCCAACAGACTCCAGAATCTGTACACCAGTTAGGCAAGGGGGGAAGGGGGTCAGTTGAGAGGCGGGACCAAAGAGCCAAAGCTCAACCTCCCGCAAGCACATCTAGGTGAGGACTAACACTACACCACCAACACCACAGCAACACTACACCACGGCAGCACTACACCAACACCACAGCAACACTTCACCACGGCAGCACTACACCAACACCACAGCAACACTACACCACGGCAGCACTACACCAACACCACAGCAACACTACACCACGGCAGCACTACACCAACACCACAGCAA